TGTAAACAAATAAGACGTGCGAACGCAACAACAGCAGGGAAACGCATTCTTGAGTCGGCTTTTCTCTTCTGTTCAGTCTCCGAAAGGAAGCAGGAGAGGAGAAGCTGAAATACGGAAATTTGAAAATAAGAGGCCACAGAAGATATAGTTTTTTCCACTGAAGTCAGAACCAAAGGAGAAGAAGCATTAGAGGGAGCACGCATTCCTTTCGTCGGCATTTCTCTAGAAGCTGAAGTAGCTGCATTCCCATCATCTTTCACTCATTCCTTCATGGTAAAAGCAGGGAAGGAGTGAAACAGTATCACCCGTTGCAAAAGGGTGGTCTTTTTCTGTTTTTTAGATATCCTTCTATCTCCTGGAGCCCTCTAGTACGAAGACAAAATGTTCAAGAATACGTTCCAGAGTGGATTCCTTTCCATTCTCTACAGCATTGGAAGTAAACCACTGCAGATATGGGATAAAAAGGTCAGATATTCTAATACTTTGTGTTCAGATGATGCAAAAAGAACATTGTGTGGAAGGTACACAGTGTGATTATATGTAATCTATGAGAGGTAATTTTCTAGAACCAGTCTGCATCTTAAGCCCATCAAATTTGGTGTCAGTCGACACTTATTGATTTCTCCTAATGAAAAGTAGCAGAAATTGTCAGCATAATTAATAAGTAAGTACAAATATTGTCCTCAAATTATCATAACTTGCATAATAGCTGAGGACTGAGCACAGAAACATGGAAGAGCAAGGGATGTGTAGCTCTGCCTCAGCAGGGTCGTGATGACACTTTCAAGGTACATTAATGGGACTTGTCTAGGCTCTGTTTTGTCAGTCAGATGCAGGAGACATACTGCACTCCAAATGGACAGTTAAGGGGCAATAGCTCTTATTAAGCAAGGCTTGAGGGGGCACAACTGACTAGGAATGACAAAAATACATAAGTACCTCAAAATCTAATCCAATGATTTCCTAATAAGGCCTCATATCCATATTTGGTAAATTTTTGTCACTACCATTGCCTAAAATTAACTAAAACCATTATGATTCCATGTTCTTTTTGTTGATATTCATAAATTAAGATTTACAGTTTTTTATTATATTTTTTATATATATTTAATATATATAATATATTATATATACATATATATATATAATATATATATATACATATATATATACTATACATTATATTATATATACTATATATTATAATAATATATATATATATATACATATTAATAATATATATTTATATATAATTATTATAACATATAATATATAGCCTATATATAATAATTAACTATACTACATATTTTAATATTATTATATATATATATAATTATTTTGATTTGATTATTATATATTGGGATTAAATATTATTTTATTATTATCCTATGATAGTAATGATATTTAATTATTTATATTATTTATTTATATATAGATATATTTATGTTATGATAATGTTTTATGTATTAATTTATTAATAAGATAATAATATATTTTATGTTGATTGTATCATTAAATTTATAATAAGAATATAAATATACATAAATAATATATAATATAAATTTATATATTAATACTTATAATATTTTATATTATCAGTATATATATATTATATAATTATATATTTATAAATATATTATTATATATTATATTATATATAATATATATTAATATTACATATTATATATGTTATATTATAATATATATATTATATATTATATATATATATATTATATATTGTAATTTATTATTATACTTATATATTTCCTACCTTTATTTACATATTATTATATATAATAATATATTTATATATATTATATAATATATATTACATATATATATATATAAAGTTATATCTATATATTTAATATATATATATTTATAATACTATTATATATTTAATATATATATAAATATATATTTTATATATTATATGTAATATTTAATATTATACTATAATTAATATATATTATATATAATATTATATATATATTTATTATTATATCATAATATATATTATATATAATATTATATATATAGATTATTATATATAATATATTATTTTATATTATTATATTATTTTTTATTTCTCTACTTTATAATATATTATATGTATTATATATATTATATATATATATAATTATATAATTATATATATATATATATTTATATATTATATAATATATATCATATATATTTATTTATGTATTTAATTATTAATAGTATTATATATATATACATATATATTATATATATTATATATTGTATATATATTATATATTATTGTATATATATCATATTTATATATATTATACTATGTATTATATATATATATATATATATATATATATATATATATATATATATATATGTATATATATATATATATATATATATTATATATAGATATATATTATATATTATATATAATATATTCTATATATTATATATATATATGTATATATATAATAAATATCTATGAATATATTACAATATAATA